CTGCCTTGGGACAGGCTCCAGAGTCAGCTGTGCCCCTGTGCCCAGGCTGGCCCGTGGCAGCTGCCCACTGCTCTCCAGGCTGGAGCAGGGAGCTTCCAGTGCCTGGTGGGTTTCAGGAGGAGCTGCTGGAGGAGAGCAGGGGTGCAGCAGCCTGGGGACTCCTGAGGGCTCAGCTGAGCCTTCAGCTCATGGGAAGGAGCTGTGTCCATGTCAGGGTGATCCCAATCCTGGCTGTGAGCTCTGACCAGGGGGTGGTGTGGGACTGGGGCATGAGACACCATGGGACAGAAGGTTTGGTGTTTTTCATGGAATCACAGAATGTCCTGAGCTGGAAGGGACCACAGGGATCATCCACTCCAGCCCTGGCCCTGCACAGACACCCCAACAATGCCACCCTGGGCATCCCTGGAGCTCTGGCAGCCTCGGGGCTGTGCCCATTCCCTGGGCAGTGCCAGCACCCTCTGGGGAAAGAGTCTTTTCTGAAATCCAGCCTGAGCCTGCCCTGGCCCAGCTTCCAGTCTGCTTTTCCTGTCCCCACAGCCCTGCAGTGCCAGCCTCTCTGCAGGGCACAGCAGAGCCAGTCAGGGGCCCTGGCAGCTGTGACAGCTCCCAGGGACAAGGGGGACAGAAGAGCATCCAGTGCAGAGTGCAGCCACATCTCTGACAGAATCCCCTCATTTTCTGAGCATGTTTGGATACTGAGCTCCAGTGGAGGTGTCCTGCCCACAGCAGCTGGAACTGATCTCTTTAAGGCCCCATCCCAAACCAGTCTGTGATTCCATCAGTACTGGTTTGGGGCCAGAATGTGTCAGTGAGTGTGTGCTGAGTCCAGGATATTGATGCACCCAATGGAAGGATTCTGTATCCTCAGGATGCTGCCCTCAGCCTGGGCAGGCTCCCTGATGCCCTGTCCTGGCACTGAGGGGCTGCAGTGTTTCCTGGGGTAGCCTGGAAGGATTTTAGCAGGAATTGCCCAAGGGGAAAAGGCTGGGCTTCCCCTGGCTCCTTCTGCCCCCCTTTGCCCTCAGGAGTTTCAGGAACTGGAGGCTGCTCCTGAGTTGCATTTTGGGGACCCTGGGAGCTGCCCCTCCAGCCAGCCTGCTCTGTGCAGAGATACACCTGACCCACAGCCTTCACTCTGAGCTGTCTCCTCTTCCTCTGTGTTCTCCTCATGGCTGGAGTGGAGTAACAGCTGCTTTTCCTGGAAGCACGGAGTGTGGAGCATCCCAGGCTGCTTTTATATCCTGATGCTTTAGATTGTTCAATTCTCGCGGCTTAAGCTCTTTATTTCTTGTTTTGCTGTGCTTATGAGAGGATCTCCTGGGGCCCTATTGTACAACAAATACAAATAATCCATGAATAAAGCAGCCTGGCTGTTTGTACTGCTGGCAGTCTGCAAGGACTGCTCCCAGATAACATTTTGGGATATTACTCATTTTGATCTGTGCCTTTACCAGCGTTTCTCTGCTCAACAACACTGCAGAGATGTTGCCCTCTGGAAAGAGGCTTCTCCAGAATAATTTCTGATTTTTCTACTTGTTTGCTGGCTGCCTGTGGCAGTTTCAGTTTCCTTCCATGCTGTCCCTGCCCAGCCATGGTGAGTTGCTGCAGGTGCTGCAGTGGTGCACACCCAGAGGCTGCAGATATTCTTTGTCAGTGCTGCCCTGGGTGAGAAGCCCTTTAAATTCACTCATGGCACGTTCAGTTTTATGAAGTCCTTGACCTTAAACTTGTGAATGAGCTGGGATGTGGATTGGAGAGTAGTAAAAGGAGATTTAAATGTAGAAAGCCCCACTTCCCTGCATGGGAGGATGTGCAGCTCTCGCTGGGGGTGCTGTGGAACAGGACCAGTTATGTTAAATACAAACTGGTATTTACTGGTGCCTTGGAGCTGCTGCACTTGTTCCCCACTGGGAGCTGCCCTTTGGGGAGCCAGTTCTCATTAACTGGTATCCAGTCATTGCACAGGACTGATGGGGTGTGGGCACTGCAGATTTTCCTCCTCAGATCTTTTCCCTCCACTTTCTTCTTCCCCTGTTATGTGCAAGGACCATGTTTATTTTTCTGTATTAGCTCCTCTACTGTTCTCCTCTCCTCAGTAATTAACAGTTGATTTCCTGCTTGTCTCTTGACCTTTCTTTTGCCAATCCATTCAAATCACAAGAATTTCTTGTTCTTTAAATATCTGCTTAAATGCCACGGGTAGAGGTCAGCTGGTTTGGTTCTTGACATATTTGGAGGAAGATGTTCCTGGTGTTCATTTGTTTCTCCTCTGGTTATTTCTTAGTAAATAACCTGGAAGGTTTGCATAGAAAATTGGTGTAGAAATTACTTCTCCCCCATGGAACACACAGAGATGGGTGGTAGGTGAGTGATACATTGATTTTTATAGGGAGGGCAGAATTCACTGATGTGGGAGTCAGGCTCTGAAGGACTAAAATGTTCCTTTTCTGGGCACCCTATGCCAGGGCTTCCCCACCCTCACAGGGAGGAATTTCTTCCTCCTGGTCCTGTCCCTCCATCCCTTGTTCAAAGTCTTTTTCCACCTTTCCTGCAGGCTCCCTGCAGGTCCTGCAAGGTCACAATTCAGTCACCCCAAAGCTTCTCCTGTCCAGGTGAGCATTCCCAGCTGTGCCAGCCCATCCTCCCAGCAGAGCTGCTCCATCCCTCTGCCCATCCTGGAGCCTGCTCTGTGTGTGAACCCAGCACATCCCTCTGGCTGTCCAGGATGGCCAGACCCCTGCCAGGGGGCTCAGAGGCCCTGGCACAGAGCCCAGAACACCTGTGGGTTTGATTGTGACCCATGGAGCAAGTTACCAACCTTAGGTGAAGATCAGCAAGCCACAACAGTTTAGGTAGAATATTAGTGAAGTTATCACGGGGTGAAAAAGTAGATTTTGGGGTTTTTGGTATGGGAGTTCAGGAGGCAAGATGGAGGGAACTGGGCATGTCCAGCCTTTCTCCTTCTTCTTCTTGGCCTCCATCTTCTGCTGTGATGGTGGCACTTTTACATTGGTTTAGAGTAGAAGCTCAGTGTCTAACACAGGTGATGGGTATTGGGAAGTAACTATAAATATTGTATATGTAGTTTTTAGTATAAAGACATAACACCACCCTGGGGGCAGGCAGGGTGCCTGGAACTGTCCTGCTGGATGGACCTTGGCAGGGCAGGAGAAAATTTCTTATAGATAAGGAACAATAAACAACCTGGAGACCGAGAACTGAAGAGCTTCAACTCATTCTTCAAACGCCCGGGCTGGGAAAAGAGACTTTTAACAATCTTGGGGTTGCAGTGACCCAAAAAAGCCCTGAGACCTCTGGGCTCCTCCAGCAGCTCCAGCTCCTGCCTGTGCTGGGCCAGGGCTGGGGCAGCTCTGCAGGTGGGGCCTCACCTGGGCACAGGGGCACAATCCCAATCCCTGCCCTGCTGCCCACGCTGGGATCAGCATTTACATTTTCCACTCCATTTTCTGCTGTGCAGGGACAGCAAAGGAGTTCATCCAAACTGCAGATTTGTCAGAAAATTGCTCTATAAATAAAAATAAATTCCAAAAATAAGTGAAATAAAACAATCAGTAGAAGATGAAGGGGAGGGGAAGGACGGAAACGAGCGGATGTGAGGAGTGAGGAGTGGATTTGTTCCATGGTCAAGTGCTTGTGTTGAGAGGCCTTTTGTCACCAGTGACTCTTTGGAGAGCAGCCCTTGGAGGGCAAATCAGAATAACTCCAAGCAGAGGAGTTCTGGGAGTGCTCTGTGCCACCTTCCCAGGAGGGAATTGGATGTGGGAATCTTCTCCACAGCTCCTGACAGGAGGGGACAGCCAGGAGGGTCGGGCTCTGCTCCAGGAACAGGGACAGGAGCAGAGGGAACGGCCTCAGGCTGGGCCAGGGGAGGAGCAGGGGGGATTTTGGGGAAATTTCTCATGGAAAGCTGGTCAAACACAGAACCAGGCTGTGGAGGAGGTGATGGAGAGGTTTAACAGCCCTGTGCATGTGGCACTTGGGGACATGGCTCAGGGGTGGCCTTGGCAGTGCTGGGGCAAGGTTGGACTCGATGTTTTGGGGGCTTCTCCAACACAAATCATTCCATGTTTCTGTGAGAGTCCCCAGTGCTGGTGATCCAGCTGGAGGCACTGAAACACCTGGAACTCATGGGGAGGTTTTGTGCCTGGGGAAGCAAATCCAGGAGCAAATCCACATTTCCTGCTTATTGTGCCAGGGAGTTGAACTCCTGTGCAAACAAAGTGCCTGAGGTCTGAGGTCTGCAGAGAGAGCATTTGTGTGGCACCAGCTGCCTCAGCCCAGGTGCTGTGGGGCAGATTTCCTGAAGGAACAGGTTTGCTTCAATCTCTGAGTTCTTGGAATAAAAGGATGATTTAATTTCTTTCTCCTGTTTGAATCTGTGTGCAAGATGGAACATCTTCCCTGGGTCAGAATGGGATGTCAATGGGATTTTTCCTTTGTCCCTAGGACAGAATGGGAAGTCAATGGGATTTTTCCTTTGTCCCTGTGTCAGAGTGGGATGTTAATGGGATTTTTCCTTCATTCCTGGGTGAGAATGGGATGTCAGTAGGATTTTTCCTTTGTCCCTAGGTCAGAATGGGATGTTAATGGGATTTTTCCTTTACTCCTGGGTCAGAGTGGGATGTCAATGGGATTTTTCCTTTGTCCCTGGGTCAGAGTGGGATGTTAATGGGATTTTTCCTTTGTCCCTGGGTCAGAGTGGGATGTTAATGGGATTTTTCCTTTACTCCTGGGTCAGAATGGGAAGTCAATGGGATTTTCTCCTCATTCCTGGGTCAGAGTGGGATGTAATGGGATTTTTCCTTTGTCCCTGGGTCAGAATGGGATGTTAATGGGATTTTTCCTTTACTCCTGGGTCAGAATGGGAAGTCAATGGGATTTTCCCCTCATTCCTGGGTCAGAGGGGGATGTAATGGGATTTTTCCCTCATTCCTGGGTCAGAGTGGGATGTTAATGGGAATTTTCCTGTATTCCAGCAACAACGCACTGTGTACAGGCTGACCCTGGTGAAAGCTTGGAACGTGGATGAACTCAAAGCTTATGCTGACCTGATATCCCTTGGGAAACCAGACTTCATTGAGGTCAAGGTGAGCTGCACTGAGCTGTTTTAGTTTTTCCAGCAGTATTTTCCATTGTTTTGTCCCCATTTCTCCCCTACCTTTAGTCTAAATTTTCTGATTAAGTAAAATTCTTCTGAAGTGATTCATAACAAACTCCTCTCTTGCTTTTAATATTAGTGAATAATAATTAATTCACATTCAGGTGATGTTTTCTAGTATCCTGTGTGTACCTTTGCAGCAGGTTTCCCTGTGCCACAAGCCAAACTTTGTACCAGCCAGCCTCACTTTCTGCCCAACACAATCATCACTCTCTGGCCTTTTTTTGTATTTCTGTGAAAACAAAGATAAATAGATATTTCTTCTTTGTATCAACTGTCAGTTTACACAAAATATTCCAGGTTCAGCTGGTAGTTTGGGGTGGGGTTTCCCATCCTGGTCTTGAGTTTTGCCAGGAGAAAGGTGAAAGATGTGCTTGTGTTTGGATTTGAGGCTGCCAGATGTGAGATACAGCAGGGCAGGAGGGGCTTTATCCTGGGCTTAATCAATTCAGTAGAGACTGTAAAAAAAGTTATAAACTTATTAAAAAACACCTTCCCACATGCTCTGAGTATTTTCCCCCAGCAGCTCCTGCAGAGCAGCACAACTGTTTGTGCAATTCTGTGTTTGTGCAGTTCTGTTACTCCTGGACTCTCCTTTTTCTTTTCTTGTTTCCTTCTCACTTATAATTTTTTTAAGCCTTCTTTCATTTTTTTAACCTTTTTAAAAATTTTTTTCAACCTTTTTTTACTGCTGCTTTGAAGAAAAAGCCTGGATTTTGCTGTGAAGCTTTGATACCTTCTGTCAGCATGGAGAGCTTCCTCTCTGGGTGTGCTGCTGAAGTTGGGAGCTTCATCCAGCTCGGGTTTGGAGTTTGGTTTGGGGGAAACTCCTTGGTTTTCCACCTTCCTGGGAGTCTCCCTGTCTGTGCAGGATCCTGCCAGGGAGGGGAGGGCAGGGATGGGGCAGGGATGGGGCAGAGGCTGTGGGGTGGTGCTGCTGAGGCTGCTCTGCCTGGAGCATTAATGTTGATTGGTGAGATGAGGCTGTGCCAGTCGATGTTCCAGCAGGGATTCCCCCAGGAACTCTCCAGGGCAAACATCTGTCCCTGCAGGGCAGGGCTGCTCTTCCCTCTGCTCACAGTGCCACAGTCCTGCTCTGCCCTGGAAAAATCCTGCCTTGCTCTGCCAAGGAAATACATGAATAGTCACAGGTGTACTCCTGGTGCTCTTCCAGCTGGGACAGGGATTTATCTGATCCCTGAACCCTGTTTGGGGGAGCTGGGACAGAGATATTCCTGGATCTATGACCCCTGTCTGTGGGTTTTATCTGGGTCTCTGAACCCTGTTTGGGGGAGCTGGGACACGGATATTCATCACAGGGATATTCCTGGATCTCTGAACTCTGTTTGGGAGAGCTGGGACAGGGATTTATCTGATCTCTGAACCCTGTTTGTGGGAGCTGGGACAGAGATATTAATGGATCTCTGAACCATGTTTGTGGGAGCCAGGACAGGGATATTCATGACATGGATATTCCTGGATCTCTGAGCCCTGTTTGGGGGAGCTGGCACAGGGATATTCATCACAGGGACATTCATCACAGGGATATTCATGGATCCCTGAACCCCTTTTTGTGGGAGCTGGCACAGGAATATTCCTGGATCTCTGAACCCTGTTTGGGGGAGCTGGGACAGGGATTTATCTGATCTCTGAGCCCTGATTTTGGGAGCTGGCACTGGGATTTATCTAATCTTTGAAAACCCGGTTTGTGGGAGCTGGCACAGGGATATTCATGGATCCCTGAACCCTGTTTGTGAGAGCTGGGACAGGGATTTATCTGATCTCTGAACCCTCTTTGTGGGAGCTGGGACAGGGATATTCCTGGATCTCTGAACCCTGTTTGGGGCAGCTGGTGGTATCCCTCATAGGGATATTCATCACAGGGATATTCCTGGATTTCTGAGCCCTGTTTGTGGGAGCTGGGACAGGGATTTATCTGATCTCTGAGCCCTGTTTGTGGGAGCTGGTGCTATCCCTCACAGGGATATTCATCACAGGGACATTCCTGGATCTCTGAACCCTGTCTGTGAGCTCTGAACACAGCTCCCCTGTGAGCTGGCACAGGCAGGGGCTGGTGACATTCCCAGAATCCGGCAGTGGGATGGTGGCACTGGGGGTCCAGCCTCACACTGTGCTCATCACGCAGCGTTTGGGAGTTGATATTTTTGATTGAAAGTCATATTTTGTGTTCCTTTGGGAAGGAAGCACATTTGGGGTGTGGATAGCCCTCAGCATTCCTTTCTGCAGCCCCTCAGGTGTCAGGGGGAAGAGCCAAGGAGCAGGTGGTGCTCAAAGCCAACCAACAAAGAGAGATGGGGAGATTCTGCAAAGCTCTGCCCAACAATGGGGCTGAGCCTGGGGATTTTCTGGCTGCAGATTTGGGATAAATGACGTCCATTTCTGATGAAGGCAGCTAATCCAGTGTTGCTCTAGAGAGCCTCACTGGGTGGATGGAGAGAGATTTAGATTCTTGCAGGGCTTAATCCTTGTTCTCATTTCCATGAGTGCCTCACAGGGCTGTAACTCTGTGGGACCCCATTCTCCCACTTAAGCCAATAGCAAAGGGAGACTCAGTCATTAAAATGCATCAAATTGATTTATTGCCTTAATCTGTTCTAATGCCAGTGTGTCACTGTCACACTTGTACAGAGCTGATGGTTGTATTTAAGGTCTGGAACGTGCCAGAACTCCTTTTCTTCCCATGGTGCCCTCTTTGGGTTCTGAAAGGCAGAAGTTTGTTTGATGTGCAGCATTTTTGGGAAGAGAACAGAGCTGGGAGGGGTCTGGAGCCCCAGGAGCGGCTGAGGGAGCTGGGCAGGCGCTCAGCCTGGAGCAAAGGAGGCTCAGGGGGCCCTTGTGGCTCTGCACAGCTCCTGACAGGAGGGCACAGCCGGGGGGGCCGGGCTGTGCTCCAGGGAACAGGGACAGGAGCAGAGGGAACGGCCTCAGGCTGGGCCAGGGCAGCCTCAGGGGGGATTTGGGGGAAATTCCTTCACTGAAAGGGAGGCCAGGCCCTGGCACAGCTGCCCAGGGCAGGGGTGGAGTGCCCATCCCTGGAGGGATGTGAAAGATGACTGGACATGGCACTTGGGGCCATGGGTCAGGGTGAGCTCAGCAGTGCTGGGTCAGTGCTGGGCTTGATCTTAGCGGTCTGTCCTTGCTGAATTCTAGAATCATGGAATGGTTTGGGTTGGAAGGGACTTTAAAGCCCATCCAGTGCCACCCCTGCCATGGCAGGGACACCTCCCACTGTCCCAGGCTGCTCCCAGCCCTGTCCAGCCTGGCCTTGGGCACTGCCAGGGATCCAGGGGCAGCCCCAGCTGCTCTGGGCAGGGTGAAGCTTTGGCACTCAGCTCAGAGCAGTGCTCTGAGCTCCAGGCTGAGCAGAGCCTTCCTGCTCCCCCCTGTCCCTCAGAATTTAAACAAGAAACCCAAAGCTGCCAGGCTGGCCCTTTGTCCCATGGCACGGTGTCTGAGGGCAGGGCTGGGGCACTGCAGGGATCAGGACATGGCACAGAATCTTCCCAAGCCTTTGGGAAGGTTTCCAGCCATGAGGAAACTCTTTCCCTGCTGATTTTCCTGCTGATTTTGTTCATGTAGTTGGATGATCTCAGTGTCCAGCCCAGCTCAGGCTGCAGGTCTGGGGCTGCAGGTCCTGCTCTGCTGCCTGAGGCTTGGCTGCACAATTGAAGTGAACACGTAAATGTGTGCAAGGAAGGGCCAGGGGGAGGTGTCTGTCCCAATCTGCTCACTCTTGTCAAGTTAAACAGTAAAGATTATTTAATTGCTTAAAATAATGAGGAAAATGAGCTGTGCCTTAATGAGTTTTTAATTGCATGCAGCAAGAAGTGATTGCCCCCACCTGTCCAACACCCATTCAGGGTCCTGCTGCCAGCTCAGCTGGAATTTAGATGAGGAGGTGAAGCTGAACCTCCCCTTCTGGTGCCTGCTGTGAATAAACCCAAACAATGTATGATTTCCACACCTGAAAAAAGACCAGCATTGGCCACTTGCTGTTAGAGAATCACAGAATTGTTTGGGTTGGGATGGACCTGCAGGACTGAATCGACCACTCCCAGCACTGCCACTGTCCCCACGTGTTAAATCCCTCCAGGGATGGGCACTCCAGACCTCCCTGGGCAGCCCCTGGCAGTGCTGAGCCCCCTTTCCATGGGGAAATTTCCCCAAAATCCCCCTGAGGCTCCCCTGGCCCAGCCTGAGGCCGTTCCCTCTGCTCCTGTCCCTGTTCCCTGGAGCACAGCCCGACCCCCCCGGCTGTGCCCTCCTGTCAGGAGCTGTGCAGAGCCACAAGGGCCCCCTGAGCCTCCCCTTCTCCAGCTGGTTGGTCCCAGGTTGGGCCTGGTGGTCCTGGAGGACTTTTCCACCCAGGATAACTGCATGGTGTGACCCTGGAGCAGAGGATGTGGTTCAGCAGTGGCTGTTCCTCCCTCAGTCCTCACAGGGCTCATGTGAGAGCTGGGATGAAGGGCTGGGGTCTGTGTTTGAGTTCAGATTTCCCAGGTGTTCTTCCACTTCCAGGGAATCCCTGCCCATTCCCAGGCAGTGCAGCCCCCTCTGCAATGGTTCTGGAGAGGAGATCCTGGGGCTGAGCTGCACAACCAACCATCTCCAGTCCTCCCTGCAGGCTGAGGTGACACACAGGACTGATGGCCTTTGTTAAATCAGCTTGAAAGTGATGATTAAAAGCAGCCAAGGAGTTGAATCCTGGCTGAACCCCCTGCAGCAGGAGCAGACGTGTGTGAGGCCTTGTGGCTGTGATTTGGGGAGTGCTGCTGCTCAGCTGAGGAGTGTTTTCATTGCAAAGATGGCAATCAGCAAGGCATTGAGGCTTTTTATGTTTGTCTGGGGTCACAACTGGCCCAGATTTTAAACAGTGTCTCCGTCACTCAGCAGCTTGGCCTACACTTTGTTCTCTGTTCATTTGCACGAGCCTCAATTAAATTTATAATTTGTGGGCCCTGCAGTGAAGAGAATTGTTTTGTTCAGTAATTAAATTGGGAAGTCTGGAGTGTGAGGGGAGAAACAAAGCTCTGTCAGCTGTAGCTGTTCCCTTCAGAGCCCTGGGGATTGAAGGCATTGCTGCATCCCGGGGCAGGAATGTGCTTCCCTTGCTTCCCTCAGCTCCAGCAGCCGCCCTGGCACAGGTTCTGGGCAATGCACTGAAAATCAACCCTGGGCACAGCACAGGCAGGAGCTGGAGCTGCTGGAGGAGCCCAGAGGAGGCTCCAGGATGGGCAGAGGGATGGAGCAGCTCTGCTGGGAGGAAAGGCTGGCACAGCTGGGAATGCTCACCTGGACAGGAGAAGCTTTGGGGTCACCTCAGTGTGGCCTTGCAGGGCCTGAAGGAGCCTGCAGGAAACATGGAGAGAGACTTTGGACAGGGGATGGAGGGACAGGACACAGGGAATGGGATCAAAGTGACAGAGAATGGGTTTAGGTTGGATATTGAGAAGGAATTGTTCCCTGTGAGGGTGGGCAGGCCCTGGCACAGCTGTGGCTGCCCCTGGATCCCTGGCAGTGCCCAAGGCCAGGCTGGACAGGGCTGGGAGCAGCCTGGGACAGTGTGAGGTGTCCCTGCATGGCAGGGGTGGGATGAGATGGGATTTAAGGTCCCTTCCAACCCATTCCATGATTCTGTGAACTCCATAGCATGCCCAGCACAGTTGCTCTGGATTCATCCTGGCAGAACCAGGAATGCTTTTCAAAGGCTTCTGCATTTCAAGGTACTTGGCCCGAGCTGTGTGGATTAGGCTGCTCAAAGCACCCTCATTAAGCAGGTAATTAAGAGGCAGAATCGTTGCTGTTCCTGCCGCAGGGAGGTTGGGGAGAGAGCTCTGGGTGAACAATGGGATCCTTTCCTTTTTAATTCTTGACGTCTTAATAACTGTCTTCATGTATTACTGCGGAGCAGAACGTGACCGCCCTCATCAGCTCCACACGGGTTTTAAGTGCTATCAGCTGTTAATTAACTCCAGTTTGAAGAACTTGGGGAAGTTGAAAGCTGCTTTCCTTCGGTGTGCTGGAAGCTGATTCCCATTGATTTGTGCTGGGAATTAATCAGCCAGCCAAGCACTCACTTATTCCTTTTGCCTCTGTGCTTCCTTAGCTTGTAAACGATACCTTTGTAGTTTACTGAGAGCATGAATCACGCTGGAGCTTCTGAAGAATTTTCCCCCTCTATACTCATCCATTTTTCATGCTACTCAAATCATAATCTGGATAATGAGTGTTGGGAGAATATTGCTGTGTGTCTCCAGCTGAACTTTGGGGATCCAAACCCCTGATTTGCGTGGCTGGCTGCTCTGATAGAACACTGACTAATAGAGAACAAACATGTTTAAACTCTGGGTTCAGACTTACAGAGCTGGGCTGAAAAAGCCTGAATGAACATCCCTGGTGAGCACTCCCTGGCTTGTGGCCTGTCAGCCTTCCTCCAGGCTGGCTCTGAGTTATGGTGCCTGGGCAGATTAATGGGGAGTCCCTCATAAATTTATGGGTGAGAAAGTAATTGCTTCCAAAACTTGTACAGTTCCCAATTAGCACTGGGCTGTTGCTCCTGCAGCCCTGTGTGTGCTCTGTGCTCTGGGTGACAGTGTGGGCAAAGCTGTGTCTGCACATTCCATGTGCAGGGAAATGCAGGTGAGTCAGGAATTGGCAGCTGGAGCAGGTGCCATGGCCATGCCACACATGAACCTGGATGCAAATTCCACTGAAAGAGGTCAAAGTGTTCTTCCCAGGGGGAAAACCACCAGCAGGCCAGACACAACATCCATAAAAGTGTGTTGTAAAGGCTGGTGCTTGATGGGATTTTGTGACTGGAATAAAAGAGCTCAGCCCAAGAGCAGAGGGGCTGGAACAACCCAGAGAGGGGGGCAGAGGGGCTGGGGGTGTCTGGAGGGAAACCCCTTTGTTCTCTTTGCTCTCTGAGCAGCCCTGGGATCTGGTGTGTGATCTCTCAGGGATGGCAGATGAATTGCTGGGAAATTGGCAGTGAATGATTTGATTGGGAGGAATTGATGGGGATCATGATCCTGGCTGTGAAATATTTTCAAGCGGCCATTAAAGGAAACCCTAAAGCTGAGCAGGGTCTGTGCCCCAGGTGGGTGACACTGAGAGCTCAGCACCCACTGAGCTGCTTGTGCTGCAAGGGGGGCAAATTACAGAGGAAAGGAAAGGAAAGGAAAGGAAAGGAAAGGAAAGGAAAGGAAAGGAAAGGAAAGGAAAGGAAAGGAAAGGAAAGGAAAGGAAAGGAAAGGAAAGGAAAGGAGAAGGAAGGGGAAGGAAGGAAGGAAGGAAGGAAGGAAGGAAGGAAGGAAGGAAGGAAGGAAGGAAGGAAGGAAGGAAGGAAGGAAGGAAGGGGAAGGAAGGAAGGAAGGGTGAAAGAAAAAAGAGAAAGAAGGGAAGAAAAATGAAAAGAGAGAGAAAAAAGGAAAAGCAAATTTGAGGTCATGGCTGAGACTAAATCAGTAATTCAGGAGGTTCAGGTGATCACATCTCCCAGTCAGAAGTAGCTGGTCCCTGAATGGTGAGGCTGGATAAGGAAGGCCTGGACGTGGCACTCAGAGCTGGGTGACACAGTGGGGACTGGTCACAGGCTGGACTTGGTGATCCTGGAGGGCTTTTCCAGCCTCAGGAATTCTGGGTTCAGAGGCTGAAGGTGGTGGATGGGGTGGGGGAGAGCTGCAGGTGTTGCACTCCCTGAGCAGTCCCCCAGAGCACAGTGCCGTGTCCTGGCTCTGTGTGGGGACAGAGAGACACGAGTCCATGCCTGGCTGGGGGCTTGGGCAGGAGCTGGAGCAGGAGCCCCGTTTCTCTGACACCCTGGGGTCTGAGGGCAGTGTCCTTGAGCAGTGTCACCTCTCAGGGGCACTTCTGGGGGTGCCTGCAGAACATGGCCCAGAAGCTGCTTCCCAAAGCTCCAGAGGAGGGACTGAGCTGTGTGTCAGTGTCTGCTGTGCCAGGGGTGCTCCCAGTGCCCAGGATGGGCACAGCCCACCCAGGGACCTGCTGGCTTTGGGCACAGCTGGGGCAGAATCCACAGCCTGGGCTGGAAGGAAGAGGCCCAGAGCTCTGTGGCACATGGGCAGATCTCTGGGAGTGTCCCACAGACATGGGACGCTTGCCCATGAGACTCTTCCAGACTTGTCACCTTTCCAGCCCCAGTGACCTTCTCCAAAGTCCCTTGGTCACTTGGGAGCATCCTGCCTTATCCTGTTAAAGGATCAATCCCAGCCTGTGTGTCACTGCAGGAGGGACACCTGGCACGGTGCTTTGGGAGTGTGTCAATAATGGGGACACCTGGCACAGTGCTTTGGGGACACCTGGCACGGTGCTTTGGGAGTGTGTCAATAATGGGGACACCTGGCACGGTGCTTTGGGGGTGTGTCAATAATGGGGACACCTGGCACAGTGCTTTGGGGACACCTGGCACGGTGCTTTGGGAGTGTGTCACTGCTGGGGACACCTGGCACAATGCTTGGGGGTGTGTTACTGTGTCACTTCTGTGGGGACACCTGGCACAGTGCTTTGGGGATGTGTCACTGTGTCACTGCTGGGGGGACACCTGGCACGGTGCTTTGGGGTGTGTCACTGCAGGAGGGACACCTGGCACGGTGCTTTGGGGTGTGTCACTGTCACTGCTGGGGACACCTGGCGCAGTGCTCTGGGGTGTGTCACTGCAGGAGGTACCCGGTTTGATGCCATCTCCAATCTGTGACCGTGCCATGGGATGGGATGCAGAGCCGGCAGCTGCAGGGTTTGCTGGGCTGGCACTGCCAGGGCTGGGGAGGGCTGAGCTGACTGTCCTGTTTCCCTGTGTCTCCAGGGTGTGACCTACTGTGGGGAGAGCTCAGCCAGCAGCCTGACCATGGCCAACGTGCCGTGGCACGAGGAGGTGCTGAGCTTCGTGCAGGAGCTGGCGCGGCTGCTCCCGGACTACGGCATCGCCTGCGAGCACGAGCACTCCAACTGCCTGCTGCTGGCCCACTGCAAGGTGAGCCTGCCTGGGCACGGCTGTGCCCTGCTGCCAGCTGCCTGCTGCTCCACAGTTATCCATCCACAGCTGTTTGGGCTGGAAAAGCCCTCTGGGGCCTTTGTGTCCAGCCCAGCGCTGCCCCATGTCCCCACGTGCCACATGCACACCTTCCAGGGCTGGGGACTCCTCGCATTGTCACTGCAGTGGGCCCCAGCTGGGTAATAACTAGCATTGACCCCATGATTCACAGAAGGCTGATCAATCTGTTTATTACATTCTTATTAAGAAACCCATTGCTTTATAGACAGTTACAATACAGCTGGATTTTTACTTCAATCCAAACCCATCACTATTGGCTAATTAAGAGACCACCCTTTGGTAGACAAACCTCCATAACACATTCCACATGTTCACAGCAACAGGGGCAGCAAGTGAAGATAAGAATTGTTTCTCATTCTTTTCTCTGATCATCTCACAGGCTTTTCCCAGCACAAAGTTGTCTGTTTCTCTCTGTGGCCAGAGAGCTGCTGCCACAGCCCATTCCAAAGCTTCCCAAGCCCTTCCAGTCACTGGCCAGGAGAATCCATGGTGTGGCCCAGGATTCCAGCCCTTCACACCCCTGGATGCCACTCAGACCCAAGGGATGCTCTGTTATTTTCCTGTTGCTCTGAGCCACCTCTCCAGAGGCAGAATCACCACATTTGGATCAGAGAACCACAGAATCATTTGGGTTGGAAAAGCCCAACCACCCCCCCCAGCACTGCCCAGGCCAGCACTGCCCCATGTCCCCAAGTGCCACCTCCACAGGGCTGTTAAACACCTCCAGGGGTGGGGACTCCAGCCCAACAACAAATTCCAGGAAGGAATTTCCCCAAATGCCCCCTGAGCTGCCCTGGCCCAGCCTGAGGCCGTTCCCTCTGCTCCTGTCCCTGTTCCCTGGAGCACAGCCCGACCCCCCCGGCTGTGCCCTCCTGTCAGGAGCTGTGCAGAGCCACAAGGGCCCCCTGAGCCTCCTTTGCTCCAGGCTGAGCCCCTGCCCAGCTCCCTCAGCCCCTCCTGGGGCTCCAGGCCCTCCCAGCTCCAGACCCTTCCCAGGACACCTCCAGCCCCTCGGGGTCTGCATTGCCATGACAGCTTCTCTGGGCCTCACCACCCTCATGGTAAAAAATATTCTCTTATATCCAATGGAAATCAGCCCTACTGCTGTTTAAATCCATCAGCCCTTGCAATGGGTCCTGCTGGAAAGGTTTGTCACCATCTTCCCTTCAAGTACTTGAAAGGAAATGAAATGAAATACAAGTAAAATGCAAAAAAAAAAAATTGAAGTACGCAGGAAATGAAAAATAATGAGTACATATTTGCTTTCTGAGCTTCAGAAAAGATTAATAGAAGGGCAGCAGAAGAAGATAATAATGTGCCAGCTGGGCACCTGATGGAATTGTAGATTCCTGGAGTGCTTTGGGTTGGAAGGACCTTAAAGCCCATCCCATTCCATGGCAGGGACACCTCCCACTGTCCCAGGTGCTCCCAGCCCTGTCCAGCCTGGCCTTGGGCACTGCCAGGGATCCAGGGGCAGCCACAGCTGCTCTGGGCATCCTGTGCCAGGGCCTGCCCACCCTCACAGGGAGGAATTTCTCCTGAATATCCAAGCTAAACCTTCTTTGGAATCTGCAAAGGGAGCAGCTGGGAAGGAGCAGAGAAAACCAGGACACCTGGCAGTGGTTGTGTTTGATCTCACCTTAAATTGGCTTTATTTACAGTCTCACTCCTGGCTGTTGCCACTGGCAACTGTTCCTGAGAAAGCAAAATCTCCTTTTGCATTGTGAGGTCCAGGAAAGCAAACAAACAGATTGCAGAAACCTTCTTGAGGCAGAATTTAACTAACACCATTAGCAAAGAGAATAAATTGGTACCTGTCCAGGAGGAATTCAACAGCTGCTTCTACTTCCACAGCCATTAGCAGAGGGTGTCTGTGGGAAACAATCTGTCCTCGGTGCTAAAATAGCTAATAAAAAATAAATTCATTTCCATTAGGCTTTAATTTTTGAGTTTCAGGCTCTAGTGGAGAATATAATCTGTCAGTGCCTATTATTTGCAGGAAAACCTGTGCTCTGGGATTGATCAAACTGGAGTGAGTAATTGCAAAATCAAAGGGGGCTTTAAAAAATTAAGAGGTTGCAGGAAGAGTGTGATAAAAATCATTAAGAAATGTGATTTATTTCACTGGGTCTGAGTTTGGAGGTGTCCAGACAAAGCTCCTGGTGAGTTTAATGCTGCCATTGAATGCCAGCCTGTGGGAAGGAGTCTGGGAATGTCAGGAATGATCCATCCTGCAGCTGCTGCCTGGCATGGATGGGATCATTGATTGGCACCTGCCTGTGGTGAGTGACAGCTCAGCAGTGAATCTCTCTCTTGAGGGCAGGGGTTGAGGGAGAAAAGGGATTTTAAGGAAAGCAAACGGCAGGGTTTGTGTCTGGTGTTATTTTCTCTCTCTGGAGGTCACAGGTGGTGCTGAGATGGGAACTGGGGCTCCTGGGGCCCTTCAGGGTGCTGAACTCTCCTGTTCAGCCTCCAGGTCCCTTCCCACACAGATATTGATTTTCCCTGCTGGCCAGCAGTGGTTCTGCCCTCTGGGAGCCCTCAGGATCCCACTTGAACCTCAGAGAGCTTTGGATCCCAGGGGAGCTCAAAAAGTCCTAAAAACTGAGTCCTCACAGCAAGATTTGGATTTCACTTAGGTCCCTAAAGGGCACCCCAGAGAACAGCCCTGTGCCCTGCTCCCCATGCCCTGAGCATCCACCTGTTCCTGGGATTTCATGGCTTTGGGGCCCTGGGTGCCAGCTCCTCACATCCCAGACTGGTTGGAGAGGGGAGGGACCCTAAAGCCCATCCAGTGCCACTCCTGCCATGGCAGGGACACCTCCCACTGCCCCAGGCTGCTCCAGCCCCGTCCAGCCTGGCCCTGGGCACTGCTGGGAGCTCCCCTTCCCTGCCCCTCCTGCATCCTCCTCCTCCCAGCCTTCCCTGGTTCCCATCTCTCTGCTGTTGGGGCTCCCTCCTCTTTGATTCTCTAGCAACACTGCTGAATTCTTGAGTGATTCTCTTTGCTTTTGAGTAAATCCCATAAACCATGGTCACAAAAATGGGATTTATGGCATCGCTTTGAACTAATGGGCTGAGATATCAACCCAGCAGCAACTTTCTAATGGAAGAGTTAATTCCAGGACCCTTTTCCAGAGGGAGGCCTGAGGTTGCTGCTGTTCCTGGCTGGGACACTCAGTGCCCCTCAGCACCAGAAGAACTCCTGAGAAGGGGAAGGTGCTGCAGCTGCCTCGCAGGGAGGATTTCTCTGAAGGAAATTCAATATATTGGTCATTTCTGGACTAAATCCCTGTGCCCTGTAGTGCTGGATTTGCTTTCCACGTGTGTTCCACCCTGTCCTTGTCCCAAAGCACTTCCAGCCCATTTTGTTCATTAACCCTTTTTCCCCTGGAGCAGGTGGTTGTTTTGCAGCTCCCTGGGGCTTTACAGCAGCAGGTTCTGGCCAGTTCAGTCAGTGCTGTGTGTGCTGCTGAGGCAGGCTGGGGCACTGGGATCCCAGAGCTCTGGGGCAGGACAGGAGGGTTCCTGTCTGAGCACCCAGGGCTGGTTCCCAGCTCTCAGGGTGACATGAGCAGGGTGGGCTCAGCACCCTGCTGCCATCAGCCCTTTGTGCTTTCATTAATCTGACAGGCCTGGGATTGGTTAGAAAAGCTCTCCAAAGTCCAACTGGCACCCAGCAGTGTCCCCACGTGCCACATCCACACACCTTTGGGACACTTCCAGGCATGGGGACTCCACCCTTGCCCTGGACAGCTGTGCCAGGCCCTGACCACCCTTTCATGGAAGAAATTTTCCCTGATCTCCAACCTGAGCCTACCCTGGCACCATTTGTGACTGTTTCCTCTTGTCGTGTCACTTGTTCCTGAGAGAAAAGACCAGGACCCACCTCCCTGCAGCCACAGCCAAGGCTGCACCAGCAGGGTGTCCCTCCCTGGCTCTAGGCACTCCTTGGGGCTGCAGGGGCAGCTCTGGGCTCCAGCCCTCTCTTGGCTCCCTGTTGGATGTGGTCTGGTTGTGTTCTCCAGCATGGCAGGGGCACTGTGGCATCCGCAAAGGGACTGAAGGGCTGCTGGGGACATCCCTTCAGAGAGTTCATTTCCCATACCCAAACACCCTTGTGAGGGTGGGCAGGCCCTGGCACAGGGTGCCCAGAGCAGCTGTGGCTGCCCCTGGATCCCTGGCAGTGCCCAAGGCCAGGCTGGACACTGGGAGCAGCCTGGGACAGTGGAAGGTGTCCCTGCCATGCAGGGGTGGCACTGGATGGGATTTAAGGTCCTTCCAACCCAAACCAGCCCAGGATTCTGTGTGGCTGAAGTGCTGGGGTGTCCCAGGGCAGCTGTTGGGGACAGGGAGCAGCCTGGCCAGAGGTGCCCATCCCTGTCCTTCAGCCACAGAATCCCCAGCCAGGAGGGACTTGGCCTTTCCCTCCCAGTGTGGGCACAGCTCAGGGACAGGCACTGCAGTGTTCCATGCTGAGCATCCCAGGCTGAGCATCCCTGCTATATTTAGGGAGGAAGAGGAAGCACTTCACTCCCAGCTGCACATCCCCTGCCGAGGGCTGCAGCAGGGACACAGAGTCCATCACGTTCAGTTCCTTCCTGCCTCCGTCCTTGCGAGAGTGGGAGCTGTCCTTGTCATCCAGGGACAGCACCAGGGGAAACCAGACCTGGAGGAGAGGCTCACAGAGAGATGGAACATCCTGGGATCTGCTGCAGGGCAGGGCATGGTGTGGAGCCCAGGTGGGGACAAGGTGGCCCCAGGTGAGGACAAGGTGACCCCAAGTGTGGACAAGGTGTCTCAGCAACCAAGCAGCCTCCCTAGAGCAGCTGTGAGCAGGGAATGGTGAAATACCCAAAGGTTCTCTCCCTAGAGCAGCTGTGAGCAGGGAATGGTGGAATTCCTGAAGGTTTTCTCCT